TTTTGTGTGACTTAATTATGGTTCTACAATTTGCACAACATTATGAGCTGGTTTATCACATTTTTCAAAATCGAATAACTAGAGCTTTTTTGGGGGGTGGGAGGTGCATGGTTTTCTTCTAAAACCTTCAGGAAAAGGGATATCCAGGGGCGTACCTAGAGCATTTGGCACCCGGGGCGGATCCTGTGTAGCTTTTGGGCATTTTACTACAGAGTAAAGTTGCTTCATTTTACATCACAATGCCCCACCCATATGATTTGCCATGTTAACTAGCGCCGGAGAAGTGCTGCAGTGCCGCCGTGTTTACATTAAAAGGCCTGCAGGGGACAGGCTATAGACGCAGGACCACTACATTAAGCTGAAGTGGTTCTGGGGACTATAGTGTTTCTTTAATGTGAGGTAAATTAGAGCTTAGTGCCACGAATAATATACTAGATTGCCTACTTACAACCAGATGGGGATGATGATGGGCTCTATCTGCAGTCTGGCTCCACTGGTTTGGTGCAGAACAGGCTCTCTGGAGGCGGTTTGCAACTGTGGTCACAAAAATAAATGTTCTGGGAGAACGGGAAGCAGCTCCATTTTTTGGGGGTCCTTTACACATCTCAAGGTCTGGGTCCCAGGGTCCACCTTCATGTTCCACCAATGAGTTTGTTCACGGGGGGTGGAGTGTGTAAGGGATGTCCTGATATGTGTGTAAGGAATGCATTGTGTGAAATTGTGTTTGTATGTGTAAGGGCTGCAAGGTGTGTTTCTGTGTATGTATGGGATGCATTGAATGTGTGTAAGGGGTGCATTGGAGTGTGTGTAATGAATGCATTGTGTGTTTTCTGTGTGTGTAAGGAATGCATTGTGTGTAGCAGTTGCATTGCTTAATGTATGTGTGTGTATGTAATGCATTGTCGTTTTCTATTATTGTAAGAGGGTGCATTGTGTGTATGTGATGAATGTCAATCTCTCCTCCATCTTGTTCCTTCTCCTCTCCCAATTCTCTTTCTCTCCTAATTTCTCTTTCCCCCCTCCTAATATCTACCCCCCCCCTCCTAATTTCAGTTTCTCTCCCCTACTAATTTCTCACCCCCCCTCCTAATTTCTCTCCCCCCCTAATTTCTCTTTCCCCCCTCCTAATATCTCTCCCCCCTCCTAATTTCAATTTCTCTCCCCCCCTACTAATTTCTCTCCCCCCTAATTTCTCTTTCCCCCCTCCTAATATCTCTTCCCCCCTCCTAATATCTCACTCACCCCCCTCCTTTCTCTTTCTCACCCCCCTCCTTTCTCTTTCTCACCCCTTCTCTCTCTTTCTCACCCCCCTCCTTTCTCTCACCCCCCTCCTTTCTCTTTCTCACCCCCTCCTTTCTCTTTCTCACCCCCCTCCTTTCTCTCACCCCCCTTTCTCCTCTTTCTCACCCCTTTATCACCCCCCCTTTTTCCTGTTTCTCACCCCCCCTCTTCCCCACCTTTGCTGTAGCGTGGCCGAGCCCTGTATAGCTGTCTCCTGTACCCGCGGACCATGCTGCAGGGCTCGGCCACGCTACAGAGAGGGAGTGACAAGAGGGAGTGCTTCCGTCCTGTCAGCTCCTCTCCTCAGGTTGCGCCCGGGCGGTGCGGTCCGCCCTCATTGACGCACCGCCCGGGCAAAGCTGCAGCCGCCTGAGGCTCTTTACAGAGCGCTCGGGCGGCTGCAGCATGGGGGGGGCGGCGGGGCTGGTCATGGCACCCCCCACCCTGGTGGCACCCGGGGCGGACCGCCCCCCCGCACCCCCCTTAGTACGCCACTGGGGATATCACTTATAGCAGTAGCAATGATTAGCCAGTGGATTCCAAAACATTGTTTTACAATAGCGTTCTCTCCTATTCAGAGGATTCCTTTAACCCCTTAAGGACACATGACGGAAATATTCCATCATGATTCCCTTTTATTCCAGAAGTTGTGTCCTTAAGGGGTTAAAGACGGATTAGATCCCAGTCTGGCAAAAAAAAGCTGTATTTCTATTTTTGAAACACAACTGAAAAGTCTTTTTTTTTTTTTTAAATAAATTTTCAACAGAGGTTTACATTTTTCAGCCTGTTGGATTTGAGTTTGTTTTAATCCTTGATTGTTTTACTGTTTTTTGGGGGGTTTTTTTGCACCATCCTGTGATTTTTATAAATATAGATTATTGTGGGGGATACCTAATAAATCTGAGTTCATGTTCCATAACATGTCCTAACTCTGAATAATATCTTAAGTTAACTCTACAACAAGAAATTTTTCTCTGTGACCAGCTTATCAGCTCTTTCATGAAGAACTTTATTGGAAAACTGACGGCAAAATACAATACGAGTTGTTCTCTATAGACCCATGGTTCTTAACCTTTTTGACAGGGACTAAAATTGCTTATATAGAGTTAGCACAGCGACCCATTCTTCAATTGTAAAATTAATTTTGTGAGACCTTCTGTGTAAATAAAAATAGGTTTCTAAATCTTGATAAGAACATTGTATGAAGCATCATTGTTCCTCAGAACAAACATCTCTGAAGAACCATAAAGCCTTTGAGAAACATCAAGCAGTTTTAAATGTCTCTTTCAGAAATGACCCAAAACCAAATATAGTGATCACAAGCTAAAAACTCTTGACTTTTTGTATCTTGCAGAGTTTATTCTTTAGATCTCGTCACATGATAATTATAGAGATATCTATGCTAGAAAGAAGAGTAGTCTTGGGTGATGAAAAGGAGGGAGCAGATTTTTCTATTTTTCTTCCTACCTCCTGAGATCGAAATTGCCAATATTTTGGTTTTCTGTTGCCGATTCTTATTGACTAATTTATTTTGTTCAGATATCTTATTTTACTGGTAACTAGTACATATGCAAGGAAAAATCTCATATGTTCTCTTTCTTATCAATATATACTTTAAAAAAAAAATGATTAGTGTTAACATTTTATTTGTCTGTTTTTTTTTACCTCTTCTTCTGAACTATTTTGTTTCTTTTTTCTTGTGAATCTGAAATATTTTGCCAAAGAAATATCTGGTTTTACAAAGGAATCTTCTTCATTGTAGATGAACTCTTCCAAAAGGAACAGAACTACTCAGATGATGTATTATCCAACATGGTCAGTGAACCCAGAATCAGCTATGGAAATGATGCTCTTATGCCGTCTCTAACTGAGACCAAGACCACAGTGGAGCTTCTCCCTGTGGATGGAGAGTTCAACGTTGAGGACCTTCAACCGTGGCATCCATTTGGTGTGGACTCTGTTCCAGCAAACACAGAGAACGAAGGTAAAATTCAAACATTTCTGGTTCTTGTGCATGCTCACTATTATGTCAATGCATGTTCTATCTGTTGTGTTATGCATGGTTTTTATGATACCCTAGCACCCAACCTCCAAAATGCCATTCTTAAAGCTTCTACTTTTACTTTCTACTTCTTGTTGGGTCCAAGCGCTTTTGTATTTAGTTTTATTTATTATAATTATCAGTCATTAAGACTAGATTATAGGACACCGAATTGTACAAGTCACAGTAAATTAACGTGTAACAAAACATGAACATGTAAGATATGTTTTCATCCAAATGGAGTAGAGAATTTTACTGTAAAATCCTAATGATTTTAGGGATCTGTAGTATCGCCTGTGAGTAAGAAAAATTATCTAAATGAGAAGAAATAAGCAGCAAGCTTATTGATAGACAACAAGTTCATGGTATATACCTACTATTAAAACTCAATTGCAATATTTTAGAATATTAACTGATATTTTTAAGAAGATAAACACCCCAAAAATATTAAAGCAAGTAATTTATTGAAGACAAAGAAATATTAAATTTTTTCGTTATTCAAGTTGAACATGAAACATGATGGTGT